ACCTCTGAGACAGGATCAGCAATAAGTACAATGCATATTATTCAGTTTTTTTTTTTAATGGTAGAATTAACTCAGTTGAGTAACAGGTTTTTACTTTAGTTTATGTAATCCTCACAACTCTAAGAGGTAATGTTTATACTTTACAATCGAGGAAATTAAGATTTAGAGAAACAAATCTCCCAAATCTAGATGGGTAGTGAATAATGGAGCCAGGATCCTAACCCAAGTCTCACTGCTTCCAAAGCTCAAAATTTTAGCCAAGATTAGCCCTGAAAGCAGTAATTTGAGCTCTGGGTTATGTGTATTGTACCACAAGCTTCAGCAAGTGACACTGTGGTTAAGGAGCTTGGGTTAAGAGCAAGCTGTCTTAAGAGCTTGTGAAGAGCAAGTTAAGAGAGCTGGGCTTCCAGGCTGGAAGATCACTCTGCCACTACAAGTTGATAAACATCAAGCAAGTTACTAAATCTCTCTGAGTTGTAATTACACCCGTACGTACAATGGGGCTAATACTGGTACCTATGCCTCATGGGGTTATAAGAGACAATGGATTAAAAAGCAAAGCAGTACCAAACATGTAGTAAACAATTAACTATGCTAGAAACACCATGCTCAAAAAAAAAAAAAAAAAAAAAAAGGAGTCCTGACCAGTGTGGCTCTGTGGGTTTGACATCATTCCACAAAACTAAAGGTCAAAGATTTGATTCCTGATCAGGGCACATGCCTGGGTTGCAGGCCAGGTCCCTGGTTGGTTGGGGGTGTATGAAAGGCAACCAATCGATGTTTCTCTCACACATCAGTGTTTCTCTCCCCCTCTTTCTCCCTCCCTTCCCCCTCTACTAAGCCCAAAATCTCCATTAAGACTTCATTACATGTTCTACAGAATCCCCACAGCAGTGTGCTATAGCTGTACTATTATCGCATTCTAATTATTGTTTATTATAAGGGAGAAATAATTCTCAAATTGGGACTTTTAGTCCCCTGACCTATACCATCAATAAGGTGTTTTTTCCTCTGCTACTCTAGAGTTTATTCAACAAGTATTTCATTCTTCAGACCTTTACAAGACCTCACTAATCCTGGAATCTATGAATAAGAAATGAGCCTTGACCAGTGTGGCTTAGCTGCTTGGGCACCATCCCACAGTGGTGAAAGGTCACCAGTTCAATTGTGGTTAGGGCACATGGCTGAGTTGCTGATTTGGTCCCTGGTAGGGGCACGTACAAGAGGCAACCAATCAGTTTCTTTCCACATCTCCCTCCCCCCCCAACAAATAAATAAATAAAATCTTTAAAAAAAAAGAATAACAAGTTAATTTAAATTTTACATAGAAAATCAGTAGACACAGGAAAATACTCAAGAGACTGGTCTTATTCTCCACATTATTTTATTCCCAACTCTTTGACCAGGAAATACTTTGAACAGGAAAAATTTTGCAGCTTCCTGAAATATACTGTTGACTGAAAGCTAGAACAGTGTTGAAAGTAATCATTTATTCAGCAGATACTGAGTGACCTCACTATATAACATGCCAAGTATAGTAGTGCCTGAGGATACTATATGAGCTGTGAAGAAAAAAAGAATACCTGACCTCATGGAGTTTACATGCTAGCAGGGGAAAACAGACAACTAAGAAAATGGACCTTCCTGTCTTTCTCTCCCACTCAACAGAAGCTACAGTGCTCTCCTTCGAATTTTGCCCTTGTGTAGGCAGTTGTGATGCCGCCTGTAAGCCAAAGCTGCATCTCTCCCATGGTCACATTGGCCAGCCGGAGCCTCAGATGAGTGTTGCGCCCAGACTAGCACCAGCAGCACAGCCAGCAGCACCAGCTCCACCATCTGCTATTGGCTCACCTACTGCTGCACCCTGGCAGCCAGGTCTGATGGCCCAGATGGCAACCACAGCAGCTGGTGTGTCTATGGGCTCTGCTGTTGGGACACTAGGTCATGTTATCACTGGAGGCTTCAGTGGAGGAAGTAATGCTGAGCCCTCAAGGCCTGACCTCGCTTACCAGGAGCTTCAGGAAACAGCCTCCTTGGCAGCAGCGCCAGCAGCAGTTTGGAACATGAGATGAAAGTAATGGGAGTGTGTCCAGATCAGGGTGACCTTAAGCTTTGTGAGGATTTCAGCAAGGTGCTGGAACAGTGCAGATTTGTGAATGAATTAGCCTAATCAAGAAGTTCAAATTGAAGAAATGGGAAATCATGTCATGAGCTAGTTAATTTGGTATAAAATATAATTGTTTAAGTATGAAACTACTAGTCAAACCTCTATCAAAACACAGCCCCCCCCCCATCTCTAATAGTTTCCTTTCCTCAGAATTGCAATGAAAGAGTGTTCTTACTGTGTAGAAGTTCATTGAGCTGGTATTACTGAGTTTGGGGTTGGGCAAATAAATGGTTGTATGGCTTCCTTAAACCAGCTTTTATGATGTTACTATTTGTGAATCAATTAGTATAAAGTGATTCCCACCCCCTCATGAAAAAGAAAGTACAGTTTAAAATAGATGTATCTGGTATATAACATGGTTAAATAGACAAAGAATTTAGGTAAGCACAATTACCCTTCAGTTCTAACTTTAACTTTGGCCAAGTTCTCTGACTTCTATCCAGAGGAGACTGAGGTCATCAGTTTTCACTGTTGTGTAACCTCCACATCTATAATGTTGGGTAGATTATCATTTTTTTAATTGACTACTACCCAGAATTATCAAGGATACAGAGAAATAGGCATATTCCTTCACAGCAAATAAGGATTTGTTTATTGGAACAATTTTTCTGGAGGGCCTTTTGGCAATCCTAAAATCTTTCAGGCCTCTTAAGAGAACTTCCAGTTCTCTCCTATCCAGGTGACTGTTTCTCCCTAAGACACTGGTTCTCAAATTTTGGTTGACCTTAGAAGTACCTGGGAGGGGGTAGAGGTTAGTAAAAACATAAAGGCTCACTCCCTATCTTCAATGAGCCTGAGCAGCAATGGTGATTGTTTTACAGACTAAAGTTTGAAAAGTACTGCCCTAGACCTTCGCCCTGCCAACCTCTCTGCTCCAGATCTCAGCTTAGATGTCATTGCCTCCACAAGTGGTCTCTATACACTAACACATTTAGTGTCCTCCTGAGGCCCCATCCCCAACAATCTCATAAGGGCCATCTATAAATTACCCACTTCCATCTTTCTGTTGCAAGAAAGTAAAACTCTAAGAGAACAGGAGGTGGCCATGTCTTTTTTACTATACTATTCTCAGTACCTAACAAAGTGCCTGACTCATTGAATGAGCCATAAAGGTATACCCACCCTTTGTAAACCAGCGGCCTGGGAATTCATGCTAAGGAACTAATTGAGAATGTACTCAAATATCTAGCCGTAAGGATAAAGCAGAGCTAGGTTTATGATGCCAAGAAACTGGAACAAATTGTTCATCAATAAATGGGCTAAACTAAAATGATGCTTTCAATAAAAGTGATGTATTCAACAAACACAAATAGGCATTAAAAAAAAGATCTTACTTGTTTTTAGAGAGAGCAAGGGAGGGAGAAAAAGAGAGAGAGAAACACTGATTGGTTGTCTCTCATACATGCCCCTTCCAGGGACCGTATCTATAACACAGGCATGTACCTTGACTGGGAACCCAAGTGGTGATGTTTCCCTTATCAAACAATGCCCAATCACCTAAGCCACACTGGTCAGGGCACAAACAGCAATTTTTCAAAATAAGGGAAGAATCTATAGAGACTAAAGAGATCTATTAGCCAACTGCAATAAATAAGACATGAACTCTAATTTGAAGAATCTATTTTAAAAATAACACATTTGAGACAATCTTGAAACTTTTAATGCTGACTATATAGTTTTCTAGTTTAAAGAAGTGTGGTATTATGATTGGCTTTTTTTTAAGGAATCCTTTTAGAGATAAATACTGAACAATTTGTTGGTTAAATGTCTGGGATTTGGTTAAAAAAAATCTGGGGAAGAGAAAACACGGGTGAGAGTACAGAAAAAAACAATGGTAGCCATGAGGTAATACCTATTGAAGTTATTTTCTGTACTTTTATATATGTTCGAAGTTTTTCATAATAAAATTCTCCCCAAAGTGATGTAGAACACTTAAAGACTTAAAAATATGTTCCTGCCCTGGCTGGTGTAGGCCACGGCCCCCAGCAACTGCACATCGATGTTTCTCTCTCTCTCTCTCTCTCCCTCTCTCCCTCTCTCTCTCCCTCCCTCTCTCTCTCTCTCTCTCTCCCTCCCTCCCTTCCCTCTCTAAAAATAAATAAATAAAATCTTAAAAAAAAAGTGTTCCCCTTTAAGTGAAAGAAGCAGGTACCAAAACAGTATGATTGCATTACATACATACCCAAAGGTCTGTAAGGACATATACCACGGAAGTTTCACCCCTGGTATTATCCAACAGAATGTCCCACGATGATGGTTATGTTCCATAACCTGCTGTGCTGAAAATGGTAGTCACAAGGCATATTCATGAGCTCTTAAACCCTGGCAGTGCAAAAGGTAAACTAAACCCTTAATTTTGTGTATTTCAATTTAAATTTGAATAGCCACAAGGGGCCAGTGGATGCCACATTGGACAGGCTGGGCAGATGATAGAATTATGGATGATTATCTTCTTTTGTCCTTGTTAAACATTTTTCTATAATGAAAATGCATTGCTTTGGAATATGGAAAAAACAGGTTTTGTTTTCATTAAAACATTCACTGACTAATGATATGGGTTCTCTTTTTCAGGGAGCTATTCTGAAAATGAAATGAAGGGGAATAAAGCAAGTTACAGAGAAGTTTTACATGTCTGTTCTTCAATTAGCTTTTAAAGGCAAAATTAGATGATTCACTTCCAAATCTGTTCTTTCAATCCTTCCATTTTTCATCTCAATTCATATAAAAATGTTTTTGTTTACTAAAAGGACTGCGTGTGAATGTGTTGTGTAGATTAGAAACTTCAACATACATTTCAATCATAATGGAAAGAAAAAAAAGTTAGGGCCTCCCAAAACCTTTGTGGTTTTTATTTAATGAATTTGGAGCCATACAACTCTGTGATCAGGCAGAAGAAAATTTCTGAAAGACCAAAATGGATTTCCTTATTGAAGCAATCAGGAAATAGGAGTGACATGGATGAATCCGACAGGGGTGGAAAGGAAAACAGGACCTTAAACATGACAGACACATCTACAGTTGTAGTTTACAATAAAGTGAAAATCTGAGTATAAAAGAACTATGCTAGAAATTTTTATTGACTTATAATTTTTTCAGCATACAAAGTATTTAATCAAGTGTAATATTTACAATTCTTACATAATGTACATTTTAGAATAACTACAATGTACTTTGTTCCATTTACAATGACAAACTACAGTAAAACGACATTCATGAATTAGATACAAATCCTCTACATACTAATAATAAGTAAATGTGTTGGTTATACATTCTTTAAAATATACCTTTTCATAGGTAGCAAAAATATTACATGTAATGTCTTTATGACTGGAATGATCCCAAAATTCCACAAAGCAGAAGTAAACACATATAGAAAAGTTAACTCATCATTTCTGAAAGTTAAGCTTTAAGCCTTTGTGTAAAATAAATGATGTCAATAATCTTTATAATGTAGCAAGCTTTCCCTGTTTAAAATTAATATCCAAAATATGGGCAGGGGTCTTGAGCAAAAATAAGGACATGTATAACATAAAACAGTGCAAAGACCAATAAAGAGAAAAGTTTATTTAATCAAACCCTGCTTCCCTCCCACCATTATCTCATTTTAAGTAGGTAAATTTATGTAAACAAAAAATGATGACCACAAAATCATATTTGTATATGTTGGGATTCAATGAAACTGAACCCAAGCCATTTCAGTTGTCTTTCATCAAGAAATTTGTAAGTCCAGGCGCACCTCAGAGATATTGTGGGTTTGTTTCCAAGACCACCACAATAAAGCACGTACAGCAGTAAAGCAAGTCATAATCTTTTTTGCTGGTGCAGTGTCTTGCCTTCAATTTGTAGAGACACATCTGTGAAGCCCAATAAAGCAATGTGCAATAAAATGAGGTATGCCTGTACATGGTAAATTAAAATTACTTTTGTGCTGTTGTACTCATTAATGTTTGTCATTGCAAAAATGTAAATTTTCCTACAATTTAATGTCTTTCAATCTGACTCTGTTCCTTCAAGATAATTTTATATCCAGGTTCTCCATATTTTTTGTTTTTATCAAAAACACAAGGAAAGCTGGCAGTCATTATCAGATTTTGGTGCTTTACAATGATTTCAAATCAGTTCACAATGCAAAGAAAGTGCCTTCGACTAGCAGTCAGAAGGGGTGCTAGTACTGTGTCACCAACCAGCAACCAAGTGACTCCCTTGGTAAAACAAGAGGAGAGACAATGTTGGCACTCTTAGAGTAAGACGGGACATCCTACCGTGAAACCAGATAAGACAAAGTAATGTCAAAGTACATTGTGCATGGCAGAACAGCATATAAGGGGACACTGCCATATTTTCACTTTGTTTCATCTCACTTGTTTTATTTGTGAGGACCCTGAATCCAAAAAGAACAGTAATTACTAGTTAGTGCTCTTTCTACTATATCATGCAGGCATGAAGTCATTCTGAACAAATGATTCTATAAAAGCATCATTTTTCCAGCTCATGTCCATGATAAAAAGTGCTATGAAACAAAAGAGTTAATTTGACACCCTAAGAGTGATATGGGAATGTCTTATTATTCAAAATGGGTACTATATTTAGTCTTAAATACAATTTGGTTTATTGTAACCATACTTTATGTGTATAAAATTATATTTCTAAAATACTGCTTAATGCATCACAAATTTGAATTGTTCAGATTGTAAAGGTATTCTTTTTTTCCAAAATGCACTCATGAAGAACCAAAATACATATTCCAAATTAAATCTATTTGTTTTGGAAAGCAAATTACCAAAGTTCATTAAAATCTATAATGAAGGCCAGTATAAATTAGGCAAACACTGTAATGCAGCAAATCCCTGGAAAATCCTGAATTTCTAAGGACTGTACACCAAAACTAATTTTTAAAACCTTACAAATCTTAAACATGTGTTACATTGAAAAGTTGCAAATAACTACTCAATTACCTTTAGTTTAGTTTTAACATGAAACTGCACTCAATCAACTCTTCATAGTACAAATATTAATCTAACTTAAATTAACGAGCTAATGATATGAGCTAAAAGAATAATGAGGAGGAACCAAAAAGTACTATCAGCAGATCAGTTAGGGAAAGAAAATAAAGGGTAATCACACTGACCTACGAAGCGCAAGAGTACGATTAACATTGTTTACACTATAATTTCTCAAAATGCACTGAATGATTTATAGCATAATACAATTCAGATTTGTTACATACTATAGAAAAGCTGTTAGTTGACACAGCTAAACTTACCCTGGTAAGAGTCAACCTACTTTGTAACTGTTATACTTTACAGCCTTGATGTTTACTGTATCATTTCTGCTGAATTTAATTCCAAATTATGTCTCAGCATATTCAAGAAATCAAGACACAGAAATGTATTTTTGTAGTACCAGACTCCCTGTACCATTAAAGATTTTGCATTCTCTGAAGATATTCAGAACCATGATCATCTTTCATGTACTTCAAATACATCTCTAACCATTAATTTTAAGTAGACACTAATTACTGTCATGTTAACAAGCCATGACTCAAGCCATAGGAGGTAAGAGTGTCATGAAAAATTGCCTTCACAGAGATCCCAGAGGTTTTCTGATACACCAATGGCTGGATCCAAAAGGAAAACTGCCTAGGCTTCCTCAGACAAAGATTAGAAGCTTTAGGAGTAAAGTACTAAGATTAAAACAGGAATAGGAGATAAAAAAGAAAAACAAAGCTCTCTCTTTTCCTCCCTTCCATTTGTTTCAATGTATTTTCTTATCCTTCAGTTTTTTAAAAAATTAATTTCAAAGTATAGTCTATAAAAATGTTATACATCTATAACTCTGATTTGAAAGAGGAAAGATTTAATGTTCCTGTTCATTGTTTCAATCACAATACAAGGCTTTGGAAGTTAGCATTTCCTTAGAAATAATTAATAAATATAGTTTTAATTCTTCTCTAATATGCAGTGATTATTACTAAATAAGTATCATATGCATGCAATTTGGCCAAACATGGAACCTTTTCTGTGATATGAATTTATTTCAGTATAATTCCTGTTTAGACAGATTCTGTTTTGATGCTCAATTAATTTATAAAACCTTAATTACTGGGGTGGGGCTGTTAGAAAATATATTATCTACGCAATTAAATATTATTTATCTACTTATTTGATTACTCAAGTTTAAAAACCTCTTTTATTTAGAAACTGAGTATCAATAATAACACATGTAACTTGTAAAAGATTAAACCTAGCTGTTGACAATATTAGAAAGAAGCCATGAGGAAAATTACTAAATTACTTTATATTCCTGATGAGATATGTCAACCAAAGATGGAATCAGACCAATTTGTAGCCTATACATGGTAAATTAATATATCTACAGTATTTCGGAATTCAAGGGTTTATGATCCATAAAACCAAATGTAAACCTATATAATGCTATAATTTAAAAGAATTACACAGTGTACAACAAGTACATAAGACAGATGTTGGAAAAATTAAAAAGTAATATATTTCCATATTTTAGTAAAAACTAAGAAAAACATGATTTTTTTTCTCCTTTTACAAAAAGATTTTTCTTTCACAGGGACCAATAACAAAAATATATCTTGAAAAAGACAAATTTCAAATAAAAATATTCTACATTATTTTATAAATCAACTTTTCCTTTCAAAGTTATAATCTGATGAAGACAATTTTGCAACATTCAAGTAATCTTTGAAACAGTTTTATTACATCAATAAATTTGTCAAGGTTTTAGGAAATCAACTCAACAATAAAGAACTATAAAATCTATAACTGAGAATCCTTTGAAGAAAAAAACTTAAGGGCTTCTTTTTGCTCCATAAAATAGAATAAATCTAAAGGGCTGAGTTATATTTACCTGTATAGCCACTGTACATATGTTGAAGTACTGGACAATAACCAGACATCTAAGGAGTATAACTCATTTATGAGCAAGTGAGGGAAACATACTCTTTGGTTCTAATAACTAAACTACATATTGTGTGTATGATAACTGGGCTACCAAAAGAAAACAAAACAATTTCTGAAACCCTCAAAACCATACAGGAAACTACCAAAAAGCTGTATTCTTGAGACAGGAAGGACAGCTGGCTCCCACTCGATGAAGACAGGCTTGACTGAATAATACAGGGCACAATGCACAGAAGAAAAATCAATGCTACCATCCACCAGCAAAAAAAAAAGAGAGAGAGAGAGAGAGAGAGAGAGATTTTTTGCCTAACTCTTAGGATCTAGTAACATAAAGTCTACAGACAACTTTTAGCTATAAAAACAGCCCTTTAAACAGAATTTTTTCCTTTCTTGAGGTTCTAAAGTAGGCTTCTCTTCCTACTAGTAAAGATCTATGTTTTACTTTGTATCAATGAATAGATACCTTTTCCTCAAAACACTCAATAGCTACTAAAATTAAGTAGAATTAAAGTAGTACAAATTTGTGAGTTTTCAGATGTATACGTTAGGAAGTCACAAGATTTAATAGTTTCCCCTTCTTAAAAAAAATTCAGAATTTCTGTGAATCTTGCTGGAAACGATTTAGTTTCTCTGGATTATTGGATGCCATTTGGGAAAAATCACGAAAAATGTCCTGGTAAGTTTCATCACCTGCATGGAAGTAAAATAAGGACACTTTTAAAATTTAAACAATGAAACATATTAATAAACATTCATTTTTATGACTAGTTACTATGTTATAATTCATTATATTAAAATTTTGTTCAGATAAGCATTTTTGAAAAAGATGAACTAAATATAAATGCTGGAAAAGTATGTAGAGAAAGAAAAAAAAAAACTATACCTGAATAAAGCACCTCAAATGCAGCCACAGAGTAAAGTTCAGAGTTAGAAAAGAGCAAAGATACAAGTATTTTAAAGTAATGTACAGAAATGCATTTAGTAATACATGAGAAATAAAAGTGAGGTATAGTAAACAAGGCATTCTTTTTTTCTGTTCATTTAATATGATTTTTAAATTTAATTTTTATTGTATTTTTTAAAACAAAGTATTCTTTAAATAAATATTTCCCTTGATCAAGACCAGAAGACCAAAAACAAATACTAAATGTTTCTGATGGATGCAAGTTATTAACAAGACAAAAGTGATAATCAGGTGTGTGTGTGTGTGTGTGAAACCTTATTTTAATATTATCTTTTAAATAACAGGTATTTTAATTTAAATAGCATGTGAAAAAAGTTCTTCTTAACTCCAACTTTAATGCTTAATTAAAACTAATGCACCTAATCTACATCTTACTAAATTTATAAAATGAAAAAGCCTAGAAAATGACTATGAAATTATAATTCCACATTTAGTCAGAAGTTTTTTATTTACTGTAGGACATATGAGCCAGAATGCTACAACAAAAAGGGGAATAAGTACCAAAAACATGTTAAATTAGAATAGACATATGTATATACATACAAATATGGTTTAGATTATACATATTGATACTACAGCAGATTGAATACTCTATTTCTTGCCATGAGAAATTAAATATATACACACATACAGACTATTCCTCAGTAAAGGATTTGTATAAAATAAAGTCTTATTTTCAAGATGAATCATTCATCATGAATGCTTCCTATTAAACATCAGCTTTATACAGAAACTTAGGATAGTTCTGTTTTCAAGATTTACACTGTCAAACACTACTGTACATGACTATTGTTGCAACATGGTTTTATAACTATTTCCCATACTATACCTTGCATCCATCTTATTATAAACTCATTTGCTATGGTTGTTGTTAATAGTGCCGTAAATTTTGTCAACTTTTGAAAACGGAGGTTTCTGAGGCAATAGATGTCATACCAAAAGCTAGAGAATCAGAAAAAAGTTTGTGGAGGGGGATAAAGATCTAGTAAAAAGGTCTAATAGCATAACCCAAAAATTTTCAATTAAAAATTTTAATACTTTCAATATTTAGTCTCTGCAAAAAGCAAGTTATTAAAATCTCTACATAGTGTTTATTTAACCCTGGAAATTTTCTAATGACCTGAATCAATCAATCTATTTTAAAAAGAAAAAAGGAGGGACCCTTAAGAGGGTTGGCTAAGAGTAATATCTAACTCATTATTACTAAAACAATAAAAATAAAGGTTGATATGTTAAAACAACTGGGAAGACAATCCAATTCATACCATGACTTCTTAAAAGTTTACTCCCACATTAAAAGTCAAACTACATCTCTTCCCATTTTTAGCCATTCTAAAAAATATAAATAAACCAAGTCCAACATTAAATATCAATTAAGAAACCATACAAAATATTTAACAATTTTTCTTATTCTTAGATACTGAATTAAAATATTTAAAATATTTATTGTAAACATTATAAATATTTTTAAAATACTATTTAACTGGAGAGTCTGGAATTTTACTTTCCAAGAAAGTGTTAAGTGCAGATTATAATATAAAAATACCACATTGATTTTACCATTCCACACCAGAAGTAACTTAAAAGGCACACATTATACATTCAAGAAGAAACAGGAAAAAGGATCTAGCAGACACTAATGCCAAATAGTTTACAGATAGCACCAGATGAGCATTCTTAAGTAGTGCAACAGTACGATGGCAATATATGGCTTCTACTATTATTAGCAATGCGTATTTTGTATAACAAGCTGTGTTTTTTTTCTTTTTGTGGGTTTCCAGTTTTCATTTTAAAATCATCTAGTACCTATTACACAATTACATTTGAGTAGAACCATTGTACCATGCAAAAAATATTATAAGATCTTTTATTCATTGAATTAAATGCTTCCTTGAAGGAAAATGTTGGTGCTATACCGATCACTGGTTTCACTTACTGAAAACATTTTAAAAGAGTTAAATCAATTCAGAAGGAAGTCTCACCTTCACAAATACACAAAAAACTTTTTGTTAATATCCAGTTTCTAATAAAACACTAAATAAAGGACTATCAATATAATTAATACCTTTCTTAGGCCTGAAAATGTGTGGTCAGAAAACAAATGTTACAATAAAGTTACTGAGATATTTAATATAGTTAACACAAATTGAACTTCAGTGTGATCTGATCATTTAAAATTTAAATATAATTTTAATCATTCAGAATTTTTCCCAAGGCAAATAAATATAACTTGTCTACACTAAAATACATAAATAATAACCCAGAATATAATGTTCTGGAAAGTTCATAAAGGTACATTTAACAGTTTACTGTAAATGATAAACAACTAATTACCCAGGAACTGATAATGCTAAATTACATTTCTTAAATTACTTAGTCACATTGTACTTCTCTTCAGAAAGTTAAATTTTCTGTATGCCTGGACAGCTTTGAGTTCTTAAATGTGGACTGCTACATCTCCATTGACAGTTTAAGTTTCTGAGTTTTGGTATTCAGAATAGCCACTGCAACAGCAATTACAAGGATCCAAGATTTTGTTGATTTTGCTTTTGAGAAAAGAGATGGCAGCATGTGAAGCCCTACCCCCAACTAATCCTGCCCATTTCTGGGTTGATTACACCCTCCTTCTATAACTGATTATATATCAGTGATCAGCCTTTGACAGCAACATACTCATATCCCAGCACTGGTTAAGTAAAGCAGTGATTTTCAACCAGCTGAGAAACTGCCAACAATCAAGAGGAACTGGTTTCCATTAATTCAGAGCAGGACATCGTATCTCACACAAACTCCCTACCCCCACCCAATCCTTCTAAGAGTTGCAGGAACTAATAAAGAGGGATAGAGAAGTCTTCCTTTCAGGAAACATGTGCTTTTAAGGTTGCCTTGCAAAAAACTGGGAGTCTGAGGTTAGGGTTTAGATGGAAAATTCAGAAGTTGGGTTTTCTAGAAATAGGTCCACACCTTTTAAATGCTAGGGCTCTTTATCAAGATTGAAAATACTTGCATTTTAAAATTATCTAGAATTCTGAGGTTGTTTTTCTTATGCTAGGCAACAACAAAAAAATCTAGGTAAAATAACCAATCAAAATCTATGAGAAAAATTTACAGTGCTAGGTAAAGGGGAAAAAAAAAGACCTGTTGCCTAAGCAAACCTATCTGCTCTCCAAAGACTCATAAAGGAAAAGTGGCCAGGAAGCAACCGCTGCACCGTTTCACCAAGTCACTGTATATGTATAAAACTTTTCTGCTTTAAATATCACGCTCTCTAAATAAATCTAATTAGAAAAATCTGATTATCATTAAGATGATCCTCAAATAGATCAAATTCTCATTTTGTTTCATGGATACACCATTTCCAGAATTCTGATCTATTTTTTAACCTATAAACTGAAATTTGAGAGTGGTAGGAAAGTTTGTTTTCAAAAAACAAGGCTTTTTTTTTTTTTTTTTTTAAACCCTGGCTAGTGTGGCCCAGTGGATTGAGCACTGGTCTGCAAAACCCGATGGTCGCTGGTTTGATTCCCAGTCAGGGCATATACCTGAGTTGCAGGCCAGGTCCCTAGTAGGGGACATGTGAGAGCCAACCACACATTGATGTTTCTCTCCTCTTTCTCCTACCCATCCCCTTTGTCTAAAAATAAATAAATAAAATCAAAAAAGGCCTTTTCCCCCTTCAAATTTTCATTCAAATAAATTGCAAAAATTTATTTTTCTAAGGATGAATGGAAAGTATATACCTGTAAACTTATACATAAAATGACAGTGAAAGAGACATATGAATACTCCTAAATGGTGATGGAAGCCCAAGCAATTTGGATGGAACTAGAAGTTGCAAGAACATAGAGGCCCCGTCCTTTCAAGTGTCCCATCTCCAGAGAAAAGTCAACTACAGACCTCACTCATCAGTTGGGTGTAACTTCATCAGCAAACACCTTAAGGAAAGAGCAGCTGACCAAACATTTCAATTTTTTAAATTTCAGGAAAAAAATTGTTTAACTCAAAATCTTGAAGATTACTCTTATCTCATAAATATTGGTTATAGCCTTTGAATAATTTTTATTTTAAAGTGCTTAAACATAAAGGCCTCAAAAATGGCCTAGTAATACTATCACTTAAGTATATGTTACAAAATTATAACTTATTTAAAAATCTAACATTCAAGTTTAAAAGAAATGGGTGAAATTCAGAAATAACACTGAGACTTCACCCTTAATCAGCTCTCTTACATCTTGGCATATCATGAGTCAGTAGTATTGTTTGATCCATAGGATTAAAGTGGGACACCCTAGATTAGAAGTATGTAGATAAAGTTCCTCTATTCTCAAAGTTCTTATTTGTTCCCTGTTAAATTACCAAAAATGAGTAGTAGATACAGTCCTCTGAGAAAAGAATTGGCCCCATTATTCATATTAATTATATATTAACCTGGTTAAAATAAAAGTAAATGGCTGAAGCCAGCACAAAGTACAGAAATTTGAAAACATTTTTAAATAGGAAGAATAGATATTACCAGGCCACTTTTAAAATAATATATTAATATTCACTAAAATAATCAAATATACCAATCTCAACTATTTTAGTCATGAATTCCAGAAATTTCTTACTAATATGTATATGAATTTAAAACAGGTAAATCACTAATCCATACACTCAAATTCATAAAATTGCAGATTCAGTTCTTTGATATATTCATCAAAGAGAGGAATCTGATCTACAACATTTCTTCCTTTTCTTAACATTCTGACTCAAGGGTGAAAATTACTCAAAATGAGACTTGAGCTGATCCTGAGTTAGATTTCTCTAATAGGATTAAGTCTACTTTGCCATCAGGTTCACAAAATACTGTTCAAAAAAACTTCTATTTATCCAACAGATACTGTACAATTGTCTGGGGTAAAGCTTTACGGTAAAATGAGACCTTTTCTCTACATCTTTCAAGTTAACTCCACTTCCATTGTGGAGTTCTTAACCTTCTAATAAATTTTATTTTAAACCTTCAACTCATGTTTATATCAGAGTACAAAACTCTTAATTCATTTTCTAGGTATTTTCCATACTGACTTATATATGCCAAACATATGGAGATTTGTTTTTTTCCCTGAACATAATTTATAGAAATTCCCTGAATAACAAAAAGAAAACCATTTTGTTATATTCACTTGACAGCTAAAGAGAATTTCAAAAAGAAAATGACTACTGTACTGCTGTAAGTGTATAAAGATATATGACCATTCCGTTCACTTCACTGGAATGTTGGTGGAAGACATCTGTACAGCAGAGTAAAGTCAGCAGCCAGAGTTAAACACAGCAAGTGCACTGTAATAGGAATAGTTATGGATATTTAAAGGCCCAGGAGTTAGCCACCCCCAAGAATTCAGTGAGTACAGTACATACTTAACAACTCATAATTTACAAGTTATTAAAACTCTATAATATTAAGTTAGTTTGCTAAAGAATTATGAGTCTTCCAATTGTAAACTGATAAATTCCTGAATGCATTTCTTATACTGCATTTCAGTATGATTATTAGTAGAATATTGACCTGGCTGTCCATAAAGTCCTTCTGATTCCCGCATCTCTTCATTCATTCTTGCTAAACGTAACCTAAAATTACATGAAAGCATTTTTAGATGAAGTCATACAATATAAATATTCATAAACTAATCAGTTACATAAGCAGGTAAAACATGTACTAATGTAATTTTTTTTACCAATATTTGCCACTAAAATAAACAGGCTTTTATTCTATCAGACCCAACAATCTGAGATACAAAAATAATTGTATTTCACTTTATACAATTCTCACGAGAGAAGCAATAAAAGTGCATTTCAGCTCTGTTTGGGCAGGATTCTTGCAGCACCTCAGTAGTGTGCTTCCTCTAGACTCCAGAGAATTCCTGGCTTCTACAGCAACCTATCAAACTTTAACTGCCAGCTGCTGAAATTACTGCTTCTATAGTATGCAAGCAACAGGCTATAAGAAGTTCACTCTGGTTCACTCTGAGGTGAGGTAGTTCCAGATGTGTAAACAGTGTGTTTTATCTCTAAATATTGGGAATATATTTCGATATACAAACATCATAATAATGACCACAGGTCACAAAGATTTTCCCAGAAATACCATATTGGTTATACATTCTTTTTGGGGTTATTCTTCCTGGCAGCAGGAAGTCATGAAGCACTGGATTAAGAAGACAAGAATTTCTTTCCATGTATTGCTCTCCTGTCCTTCAGGCCACCAAATACTCACTGCTTTCCCAGGCCTCTATCACTCTCTTCCAACAAGCTCTCTCTGGTACCTGCAGCATCTGACATGGGCTTTTCCTACTTTCTCACTACCACAAACCCCGTCCATCTCCATTTTCAACCACTTTGTGAATTACTAATAGCACCATAATTCTCCCTTTAGTAGTTTGACTTTTCAGAGAGAATGTCTATTTCAAAAATTCAGATAATTTGGGAACAGATATCTTTGAGGAAGAGGGGCCATAAGGATTGCCTGGGAACCCTGCAAAACCAAGATTTGTTTCTTTATACTATTCCTATCTTTTCTTTAATAACTTACCTTTCTCTAATGGCAAACCTATACTGATTTAATAGTTTAAAAATCTCCTACAATAGCCTCCACAGTAACAATAACCCCTCCAGTAAGAAAAGAAAGTTGAGTACAGAGAAAGTACTCTTTTTTAAAAATCTGGGAGGGGTCAGGGCAGAGTGATGTATGGCAAGTCAAGAATTCTCAGCGGGAGAATTCTCAGGAGTTCAAGCAGTCATGGGAGTTTCTCTTTGTAAGTGACTGAGATTTGGTAGTGTGAATGGAACTGTCTCTACTCATATAAAAGAGAATCAATAATTCTGGGCTTCATTCAGCCCAGAATAGGATGAAAAAGTGACTTCATTCAACATATGATTGAAATTTCCTACATAATAATGACACATAGATGAAATCACATTTCTAGATTACAAGTGTAACAAATAACTATGATCTAAGATAAAAATCAAAGACCTCAAAAATAATCCTTTAACAAATCATATTAAATTGTATCCAAACATTAAAAAATAAATACTTTTATCTTAAAAGAGTACTCTTTGAAAAATAAGTACAAACAGATCCTAAAGTATTACTGCCCAAAAGCAATGCAACTGCAAAAGTTACTAACACCAATGCAGGTGTCCTCCCTACTTATAATCCTCTAATTCTTGAGGTAGCAGAATAATAGCCTGTTACTGTACCAATCCAATCACCATCCCAATACTGTACTAAGGGTTAAAGAATATGTTTTAGTGAAATCACTGTTTTTTTTTTTTGTTCCTACTGGTCATGCAGTATAACAAAAGCGGTTAAGAACATGGGTTTTAGAGCCAGAATTCTTGGTTTCAAATCCTGCCCATCTCTACCTCTTAATAGTTGTTCAAATCATCTGTGGCTTGGCTTCCTTATGAGACTGATAATAATAATATCATCCTCATAGGGTTGTTGTGAGAACCAAATAAGTTCATGTGTAAATAAAGTGCTTAATACACTCAATGTACCGAGATAAGTATATGATATATAGTAAACAACTGGCCAGTTTAAAATTCATAACTACCAAGGAAATTCTATACTAACACTTCATACCAGTAATATATTATATGAGAAATAATCAAGTAAAAAGAAAACACTCACAAGGTCACTATATCAGCATTGGCTGCTTCCACGGCTATACTCAAAGGGTCTTTCCCTTCTTCATCAGTGGCATGTTGATTGGCACCTCGTTTTAGAAATAAACATACCTGCCTGTTTAAGTAAATAGCATTTTTGAGATATTGGCAATAAAAAGAATTACCTTAAAAAATAAAAAGCATTCCCTAACTTAAAGAAATAACATTTTTATTAGCGAATTCTTATTCATTCTACAAATACTTCAAAAAAGATTTTTATTTATTTATTTATATTTTCAGAGAGAGGGGGAGGGAAGGGAAGGAGAAAGACAGGAAGAGAGACATTTATGTGTGGTTGCCTCTCACGTGTCCCCATCTGGAGACCTGGTCTGCAACCCAGGCATGTGCCCTGCCTGGGCATCAAACTGGTGACCCCTTGACTCGTAGGCTGGCACTCAATCCACTGTGCCACACCAGCCAGGGCCATTCCACAAATATTTATTCAACGTTGACTCTGCTAAAATTGACCATAATCAGCATTTTATAAGTCTAGAGACATTTTCATATTTAACCTGGTACTATATAGCAAAGTAGGACATATAAATTATGGTCCCTGCCCTCAAGGAATATCATTAAAAGATATACACAGATATCTATAAACTTAAAACAAAAATCAATTAAGGTCATTATCTGGGAAAGAAGGAAGTCAACAGCAGGGTGGGAAGTAGTCCTCCAACTGTACTCTACAAATATTATAACTTGAAGAAATTGACAAAAATAAAATAAATATGAAAGCAGGAGTAAATGGTGTCTATAAAGTAAAATGGGAAGAAGTATGATTGTTTAAGAAGAAAATACAAAGAATGACTTAAATACTACCATTTTTAAGTAGACAAAAGTTTTTATAAAATTACTGAACTGAATCTCTTTAGCGATAGAGGGAAAGCATAAAAAAGAACAGTTTGCTTGTCAAGGTAATAAGAATTGGATATCCCAAGATGTTTTATTAAAGAACAATCACATATAAGGCCAACATTTTGACTTCATTTGTACCTTCTAATAGAAAGTCTGCTTTCAGGGTGTTATTACTCTGCAAGTCTAAATATTGCTCCAGAAGCCACGTCAATAGCACACTAATAATTTACTTTAAAATTTGACTTTAGCTATCCCGTGGGAAAACTAAAATGTCCAAAGTTACAAAATTCTCCCAAAATTTGTGTGTTATGTACATAATATATGTCTACATGCATAAGCACACACAGACTTAAAGTTGTCTGACAAAAATCACCATAATTTGAGTAAGTTTTAAAAACTGAAATTGACCTATATAAATGACAAGTGAAGTTCAAAGTAAGCTTTGAAACTTTCTTATCTGAAAAGTTAACACCTTTTTTTCCTGAATGAGATTTTTAAAATTTCAAATTTCATCTTGACAGTGTAAGTCATAAGAAAGTATCGTTTTACAAAGTCCCCCAATAGCCTTACCCTGAGAAAAAGTTTGTGATCTAGCAAAACAGTACTTTCAGTACCAGAGTTCTCTTCCATTAAGAAAAAAAAAAATGAGCTTACACAAAGTGATGCTCAGAAATCACTACTAGCTTCTTCTATTTTCTAACTCATCTCTTAAAGCAAAACATTATTTCAAAATAATTTTTCAAGTAAAATCTGCCTAAATATGTAAGCACTATAGCTTACCCTGTGTGCCCTAAGACGGTGGCATGGTGCAGTGGTCCCCGCCCTTGTACATCTCTTTGGTTTACATTAGCACCATTCTGTAGGAGGAACTCACACGTCACCAAAGAGCCCTTAGAGGAAAGAAGATAACAATGTACGAAAAAGAAACAACATATTTCTACTAAAAAGAGGGTTTACTTTATTCTAATAGCCTTTCTATTTCATTCTCCCCTAAAAAGAAAACACCCCCCAGCAAAATGATAAATTATGTAATCTCTTCCCAAGGACTAGGTTTTGTTTTTTTTTTTTTTATTTTAATCATTGTTCAAGTACAGTTTTCTCCCTTTTACTCCCATTCCAGCCCACCCACCCAACCCTCCCTACTTCCCTCCCATTACCACTCACCCCTAGTTTTTGTCCATGTGACCTTTAAATTTGTTCCTGTAAACCCTACCCATTCCTCCCTGAAATTCCTTCTTCTCTCCCCTCTGGTCACTGTCAGTCTGTCCCCTATTTCAGTGTCTTTGGTTATATTTTGCTTGTTTCTTTGTTTTGTTGTTTAGGTTCCTGTTAAAGGTGATATCATGTGGTATTTGTCTTTCACTGCCTGGCTTGTTTCGCTTAGCATAATGCTTTCCAGCTCCATCCATGCTGTTGCAAAGGGTAGGAGCTCCTTCTTTCTTTCTGCTGCATAGAATTCTATTGTGTAAATGTACCATAGTTTTTTGATCCATTCATTCACTGATGGGCATCTTGGTTGCTTCCAGCACTTAGCTATTGTAAATTGTGCTGATATGAACATCAGGGTGCAAAGGTTCTTTTGTATTGGTGTTTTAGTGTTCTTAGGATACAGTCCCAGCAGTGGAACTGCAGGGTCAAAAGGCAGATCTATTTTTAGTTTTCTGAGGAAGTTCCATACTGCTTTCCATAGTGGTTGTACCCAAGAACTAGTTTTAATAAAGATTCAATTTGCAGTTTGTGAGCTGGCAAAACACACTACTTTCATTACCAGAATTCTCTTCCATTAAGAAAAAAAAAATTGAGCTGACAACAATCAAAGTGATGCCCAGAAATCTACTAGCTTCTTTGATTTTCCAACCCATCTCTTAAACAAAAAATAATGCTGAAGCCATTTTCCAAATGAATTGTGCTTTTGTATGCTTTAGTACTACTGAAAACCTCAAGATACAAATCCATACCCCTAATACAGCCTGAATAAGTGGCGTTGCTTTGTTTTCCTCCGAATTAGCCCAGTTCACATCTGCATCATGAGCCAAAGCTTCAGCCATTTTAGGAAGATTTTTTTCATATGAAGCCCTATAAAGCTGGAGTCCTGGATTAAGATGTTTAGAGTCAAGAAACACAGAAGAATCTTGCCTTTCTCCCTCTGAAAACCAAACACAAACACATCATTAATAATGAACTCTTGGGGAAGAAAAGAATGGGAAGTTATTGTTTCATAGTCCCAGAGTTTTAGTATTGTAAGATGAAGAGTGCTATAGACGGAGATTAGTGATTCACAACAATGTGAATAGACAATGTCACTAAAATATACACTTAAAAATGGTTAAGGTAATACATTTTACGTTATGTGAAACTTACCACAATAAAAAAAAATCAACTTTGTCTCACAATGTGAAAGTTGTGACATAAGAAACCATTAACTTAACAAAATGAGGTGATGGGAGATTTTCAGGAAGATATTTTATTTCCAATACTAATCACTCCCCAAACAGTGAACCTTCTTTTCTTATAAAGCCATCAACGGGTATGTCAGGACTTTGTTGTCTTGCCAGCATCCAATAGATTGGTTAATTACTCTGTACTAGGGTAAAATTAGGTATATGCCAATAAGCCTGGACTTAAAGTCTAAGAAGAGTCAGTAAGAATCCTTAAAAGAATTTTACTACTAGACAACACTTGACTTTATTCCTAGGGTGATCCAATACCATCAAAAACTGCAGTACAAACAATTCAGATAAATTTGAAGAGTGCTTACTACCCTAATTATTCTGCAAGAACAAAATCACTAGAATCATGAAGGAGAATATAAGACTAAAGCATATGTCAGTAAAACAGAGAAAAACCTATTGGGGAGGGAGCTGCAGATCGCTTTCTTCTGATAAGATAGCATAGCCACACAAAGAAAAAGATAGAGAGTAATAGTGAATTTTAATCCAAAAGATAAAGAGTAATAATATTTAATCCAAAATACAAAAAGTAATAATTTATAATCCGCATACAGTTCATGTGGATTAAAAATTATCCTTACTATTGTCAAGGCACTTTTAGCACATATTATGAGGCTCAGAAAAATGTACAGCTAGGAGAGAACTTTTCAAATATAAGAAATCGCTGCCTTTTCATTAAACTGTACTACTCTTTCCTTAGTTCCTTCCAACAGACTAACAACCTGCTTTAGAAACTAATCAAGACTAGGCATTTAATACATGCATTTTCTAGTAAATAATGCCAGTTAACATTGAATTTCACCAAAACTCACCAGGCTCATATAAACTATTGGCTGACACTGTGGAGGGTAAAGATTCTCTTCCATCATCAGAGCTCTGCTGGATTCCACTGTCATTACTTTTGACTGTTTTAAAGAAAAACCAACTAGTGATTTTAGAGAGTCATTAAAAAAATAACCTCCCACAAACAACGAGGCTTGAAAATGAACTGATATGTCAATGTAAACTCAAAGGGTAGTAGAATACATTTAATACAATTTTAATTCTTTTGAGCACTTGGTGTATCAAAAAATGAACCAGTTACAAAGCCTGAAAATAAACTTATTTTCAGACTTGTAATACATCTCATTACCCCATAATATGTAAGGGGTAGTAAAAAGCTTAATTTATTGTATGAGTGTAAGTAATGTGTAATTCTGAGACAATGGGTAACATCTAGAGAAATGGCCACACTGCACAATGACCACCGGCACAGACTTGGAATGCTTCATAAGAGTAGTACTTACTACTACGGAGTTTTGAAGAGGTATCAAAGTAGGAGAAGAGTGAATCTAGCTCATCAGGACAGAACAGAGACTCCCGCCTGGCCTCGTCGCTATTTACAGCAACCACTGGGGACATGCAAGTTAGCAAAGCACAAAGCAGGCAGTAAGAAGGGAAAAGGGCAGGAAAAAAACATTATTGGGAAAAATTTAGGAAGAAAAAAATAGGAAGGACATTAGGTGGTTAATCAGATATTTATGGCTTTTATGCCATGATAGAGTAATAATTCCCATCTCCCTCTGCACTTTAAGCAGTTTTAGTCTTTAGAATATACACATTACCTAGAAATCTGAATTAGCAAGACTTAGTAATATAATAGTTTTAAAGACAGAGTCCAGTTTTTCCTTAGAATATGTAGAAGGAAATAGATTTTTAGCATTGAAAAAATTTCAAATGGTTAATAATTCAGAGATTAAGAAAGTGACATCACCTTATGAAAATATTATATATACAAGTAAGCTGTAATACCTGAACTTTGGGGAGATGCTTTCATTTGGTCACCTGGTCCAAGTTTAGAAATGCTTAGCCTCTTTTCTTCACAACTTCTGGAGACAATCTTTTTTTCCTGCTCAGGAGGTGATGATGATGCAGAATATTTATCCACAAATTTCTTCTCCACATATTTTGCTTTGATATATGCCTCTTTCTCCTGTCTGGTAAACATAAAAATATCATGATGTTCTGCTTAGTCTCTGAGCATAACTGATACTGAAAAGAAGCCATTATACATATAATGAATATTTCAAAGAAAGTTAGTAAATGAAATACTAATTAAAACTGAATTTGTGATGATATGTACCATTTTCCTGCCAAATATTTAATGAATTATGATTTCATATTCAAATTAAATACAGATCATAAACTAAAGATTTCATATACTGAACGATCACTACTGGTAAGACAACTACTTTAAAACAAAATAACATTCCTAACTTAAGGGGGAGAAAAGATGTCACATTTAAAGTTTTGATTTCTTATATAATCATAGAATGCCAAGTTTGTTCTATACATTTTCTTACCTATATCATTTAAAAATGCTTAGGTATTTGGGTAAAATAGGATATTTCAAGGTCTAAAGTAACTCAAACAGCAATGCTTTAGCAAATAAATAATCTGATTTAAGTAATATTGGTTTACAGTATAATAACTTTAAAATGATATTGTGTATATATAAAGATTTAGTCAACTGCAATATACCAAAACCCAAAATGAACTATTAGCCACTTTATTCAATGAGAGTCTCCATATATAGAAATGGAAGTATAATTTCAAACACAGCAATTAAATACTCCTTGTTACCTTGTCACCCTTTAAATTTTTTTTTATTTTTTTTAAATTTATTTTAGAGATGGGAAGACAGGGAGAAAGAGAGGGAGAGAAGCATCAATGTGCAGTTTCCTCTCATTCGCTCCTTGTTGGGTACTTGGCCTGCAACCCAGGCATGTGCCCTGACTGGGAATTGAATCAGCGGCCCATTGGTTTGAAGGCCAGTGCTTAGTCCACTGAGCCACACCAGCCAAGGCTACCTTGTTACCTTTAATTCTTCAACATCATAATGTTATGTATAAAGCATGTGATTAACAAATATCTGCTGAACTAAATCACACAGCGTAAAATTATTCACTGTATGTAGTAGAAACTTTATCCTTAGATACATTAATGAACAGATTTTCTCTTTTTTAAAGGCTGGCCACTAACAGAACATTGGTCTACTTTAACTGCCAAGAACTTTTACATTCATATACAGAACCTTAATTTTTAAGATTCTTATCTGGAGACTATAATTGACTGACCAATAAAAAATAATTTTGTAGCCATATTTTAATAGGAAGAGAAATGATCTCTTCTAAACAGTCTGTTTCATTATTACATATGAGTTATAGTGAAATAAAATCACAGTCATATTTCTGATTAGGGAAAAAAAAAAGATAACATATTAAGACAACGGAAATATCCTGACTGGTGTGGCTTAGTTAGTTGGGCATCATCCCATAAAGCAAAGGTCGCCAGTTAGATTCCTGGTCAGGGCACACGCCTGGGTTACAGGTTTGGTCTCTGGTTGGGTGTGTATGAGAAGCAACAAATCAATGACTCTCTCTCACATGGATGTTTCTCTCTCCCTTTTTCCCTCCCTTCCTTTGTCTCAAAATCAATAAAATCTTTTTTTTTAAAAGACAACTGAAATAGTACCTTTGTCCTGGTTGTGGTTTCTTTATTCCCATTTTTTCCACTTTAGCTTCATAAACTCGATTGATAACATCATTCCCCAACTCACACATAAGCTGTTTAGCAGGGAAATAGAAAAATAAGCCATAAATTCCTAAAAATACTATGAAAGTCATTAAAGCAAGTACACCTAGGTAATTCCTTTAGCATATTCTGTAACTGCTCATTCCACAAAGAAGTTTAAAGTTAAAGCAAAATGAAATAAGAGAAGAGTGCAATATCACCATCTGCCATTGTTCACCAAAATACCTCTCCTGAAGGATTACCACTCCTAAAGAAAAAGCCTTTGCCTCTCCCATCTCCTGCTAGTTTCTATCCTTCCACCATGCCTAGCACAATGCTGCATATTATTCACAATGTTGAGTAAATTAAATGAAAAAAGAAGTCCAAGGCCAGACAGGTAAAGTTTTAAACAACCCAGAACTGAAGTAAACTATTTTCTCCTTATACTTCATATATAAGAATTTCAAAATATTTTAAAACTTTTGGTCATATTTTTTTAAAACATCATACAGTTGTGTTACCAACAAATTTTCTAAATTGAATCTACTGAGTTGGTAACTACATACAAAGTTGATACAGAAATTAGATTCCTACCTCTATTCTCCCACTTTCTTCATCTTTGAATTAGTAATGAATAGTAGAATCTACGTAAATAGGGGTCTACCTTAGAAGTCAATTTATCACTTCAATTTAGATGTTTACACAATAATTACACAAAGCAAATTTTTTACTTTACATAACTGAAAGAACTACCAGTTTATACAGAGTGAAATAAAATCAAAAGCACATTAAGAACACAATTTTCAAACAAAATGAAGAGTACACCACAAAAATTAAGCTAAATGGGGGGAATTAAAAGAAGTATACTATTCACTGTGAGTTTTGTTAATCTTATCAGAAACCCAGATGTGAGCTAAAATTATTTGTGACATTTTCATACATATGAATCCCTACACATGCAAAAAAAGATATATTGGTTTGATGACTACTACCCTGCAAATGTAAATTTGCAAATGGCCCTATGCTAAAATAACCCAATGAAAACAACTTACTATGCCAAACCATTAGGAAGCTTACTCTAGCAACATGTGTCATATTTTTATCAAGAATTTATATAATTATAAAAGATTAAAATTAAGCCACAGAACCTAAGATTTTTTTGAGAAAACAAACATGTAGGAACCCTGGTTTTCTTAAGAAGTGAACTGATTCGGAATTAAGAGTCCTACATAAACTTATCAATTTTTAAAATCCAATATAAAAATGACAGATTGGTCAACATAGTCTCATATGTGTCCCAAAACAATATACTTAATATTAGCATTGAGAAACTTATACATTTGAAAGACTTCTGGCCAAGATGGACGCATAAGTAGACACACTTGGCCTCCTTGCACAACCATAAGAAGTATCACAACTAACCTCAAAACAAAAATAACCAGAACTGCTAGAAAACTGAACTGTCTGGAAGTCCAACAACTAAGCTTTAAAGTAGAAATATTTATCCAGACGGGTAAGAAGGGCAGAGACAAGGAGTTTGGGTGAAGAGGGCACAGTGTGGCAGCAAGGCAGCAGAAGCCGGAAGAATAGGTGGTCCTACATTCACGTGTGGCATATAAAAACTGAGGACACCTGGGGAGGGAGCCACCCCAGCCCCAGGCTAGACCACTGCAGCCCAGGGTTCTAGTGCCAGGAGAATAAAGCATCATAACCTCTGGCTGTAAAAACTAATTGGGTTTGGGGTGTTGGAAGAAACTGCCAGTCTCTCAGTCAAGTCCATTTAAAGGGTCCCCAGAGTCCTAGAATGTATGCAAACCCATCCACTCTGGGAACCACCACTACGAAATAGCTTAGAGGGGCTCCGGTTGCATACAGGAAGTAGGTAAAGTGACTGGAACTGGGCAAGGGCTAAGCAAGTGGCATTGTTGCCTCTCGGCTCCTCCCCCACAACAAGCCACAAAGTGGTGAAGCAGGTTGCCCTGTCCTGGCAAGTACCTAAGGCTCTGTGCCTTACAAAGTAAGGGTTGCATTTCAAGATAGCGAGTCAAAACAGCTCTACCTAATACACAGAGGCAAACACAGGGAGGCTGCCAAATTGAGGAGACAAAGAAATATGGCCCAAATGAAAGAATAGATCAAAACTCTAGAAAAAGAGCTAAGCTAAACAGAGATGGCCAACCTATCAGATGCAGAGTACAAAACACTGGTGATAAGGATGCTCAGAGAACTCACTGAGTACTGCAAATGCATAAGGGAAGACATGAAGGCTACACTAAATCAAATAAAGGAAAATACAGAGGGAACCAACAGTGAAGAGAAAGAAGCCAGGATTCAAATCAATAATTTGGATTGTAAGGAAGAAATAAACAGTCAACCAGTACAAAATGAAGAAATAAGAATTCAAAAAAACAAGGAGAGAATAAGAAGACCCTATGACACCTCTAATAGTGCCAACATTGAATCATAGGGATGCCAGAAGAAAAGGAAGGGCAAGAAATTGAAAATTTATTTGAAAAACTAATGAAAGAAAACTTTGGTGAAGGAAAGAGACATACAAGTCCAGAAAGCACAGAGAGTCCCATACAATTTGGACCCAAAGGGGACCACACCAAGACACATCATAATAAAGATAGAGAGAATCTTAAAAGCAGCAAGAGAAAAGGAGACAGTTACCTACAAAGGAGTTCTCATAAGACTATCAGCTGATTTCTCAAAAGAAACTTTGTAGGCAAGAAGGGACTGGCAAGAAGTATTCAAAGTCATGAAAAACAAGGATGTACAACCAAGATTACTCTATCCAGCAAAGCTATCATTTATAATTGAAGGGCAGATAAATGCTTTCCAGATAAGGTCAAGTTAAAGAAGTTCATCATCACCATGCCCTTACTATATGAAATGTTAAAGGGACTTATTTAAGAAAAAGATGATCAACACTATGAACAGCAAAATGACAACAAACTCACAACTATCAACAACTGAATCTAAAAAACAAAAACAAAAACAAACTAAGCAAACAGCTAGAACAGGAACAGAATCACAGAAATAGAAATGACTTGGAGGGTTATCAGTGGGAAGGGGAAGGGGAGAAATGGGGTAACAGGTGCAGGGATTAAGAAGCATTAATTGGTAGGTACAAAATAGACAGGGGGAGGTTAAGAAGAATATATGGAGAAGCCAAAGAACTTATGTGCATGACCCATGGACATGAAATAAGGGAGGACTGCTGGATGGAAGGGGAGTACTGGGCAGAGGGGGGAAGGGTAAAAAAAATTGGGACACCTGTAACAGCATAATCAACAAAATACACTTAAAAAAACTTATACATTTGTAAACCAACTATCTAAATTCATGACTATTTATATAAAAATACAAAACATTTTAAAGCAAGTATTTATTTTACCTTTAAAAGTTCAGGCTCCCAGGTGTCTAAAGTTAAAGAACGTACTTTTGAAAAATGAACTCCAAGACTCCTATGAGGGGAAAAAAGACTTTGTTAATAGTAAACTATCAATCTCTATTTGCTAATTATGCAAATTACTTTCCTCTTACTATGTGACAGTCTCTACTATAGCCCTTAACACGTATATAATTAGAAATGATATATATCTTCTGATTTCAATCACTGGTGAACCAGAGTCCTCAAAAACTATTCACAGAACAGAATTGTATCCACTTTACAAAAGATAAACAGATACAGACCAGCGGTCAAATTAGGCAAGTAGAAAAGGCTCTCTATTCAATGGGACATGATAATTTACAATGCATGTTTATCCAAAAGAAGTCTCTCAGCTTGGGCAGGCATACCCACCGATGAATCCCAGAACACTCGATACACAGGGTGATGCCCAGGTTGATGCTGGCCCACCGTGGGTCTGCCAGGCCACAGTCACAGCAGCTGGCATTGCCAGGGATACACTGGACTCGCTGCAGTGCACTTTCTCCTTTCAATAATTTATCTTTTGACTCATTTCCAGAATCCAAGCTTCCTGTGGATGGGGATGATTTCTTATCCAGCTTCTAAAAGGATGAAAAATTATTCATTTCTGTTTTAAAAAAGACTGTAATATCATGTTGCATTCTACATGCTCCAAACGAAAGTTTATGATCAATAAATTGAAGGTCTATTATGGACCTACACTAGGCATTGTTGGAGGCATTAGAAATTTAAGAATGGAAAAATATAAGTTCTTCCATCAACTGGTCTTGTGGGTAGAAATATATAACCATTGAAAATTTATAGATATATAAATAACTAATACAATGAACATATGCACAAGATATGAGGTCAAAGGGAAGGAAGAACGTGAATTTAACATGCAAAATGAGAAACAGAGGGAAGGAATAAACATGAGACTATTAAGGCTTGAGAATAAGATAAATATTATTTTATACCATGTTTTTCTAAGGTATCCAATTACTGTATTTTTTCGGACTATAAGATGCACCCCCCAATTTGGGAGAAAAACAGGGGTGCACCTTATAGTCTGAATGTAGATTTACATTTACATTGGTGAAATATTATGTTATTTATGTTATTAAATATTTTACCACACTTTTTGCTTCAAAAGTTTTTTCCTGTTTTCCTCCTGTAAAACCTAGGTGCATCTTATGGTCTGAAAAATATGATAACTCCAAGCAAGTTATTTCAACCTATTCGGTGAATAGCTGGAAAAGGTACAGCCTTTTATTAAAGAATAGATTGATTACATAATTATAATTACAGAGTGAATCAACAATAGAATACTCAGTATCTTGAAATGCCACAAGTTATTAGGAAAAGCAAAAGGCATAAGCAAAAACCTTTTTTTTTTAAGTTTACAGCAAACTCTATACTAATAATAATTAAAGGTGTAGTTTGGGGGATCCTAAGCAATTAAAGATATGGTTTAAAAAGTATTTGGATTTAAAAACATTTCAACAAGCCAGTATTTTAGTACAGAATAAACAGAAATATAATTTGGTCCTTGCTTTGATCTTCCTGAAAACCCAACTCAATAGCCATTATTAGGTAAGCCAAGCAAAAAAAAAAAAAAAAAGTGTGGGTATATGGAATTACAGAAAGAGGAGTTGGGCTGGATGAAGAGCATATCTTTGAATGGGGGCAATGCCATGCAGTTTGTTGGATCCCAAGCTGGATAAGAAGGGTATCTTCACAGGACAGCAGCCCAGCAAGGGAAGTAAGAGCCTGAGGAAGGAGAGCCATGTGGAGTAGGAGTGCCACAGTGTGAGGTGTCATAGCCAGAGTGGGCGGAGGGGGCAGGTGGCAGCAGAGAAAGGACATTGGTTATATATAAAAGGAACTGATCATATAAACAAACATGTTAAAATTAATGGGAGTCAGATTTTTCACTGCTGAGAAAGAAGTTACTCATAAGAAAAGCAGAGAATTAGAATAAACTCTGTTGTATCAGATTAGAACTGGAGAAACCAATAAGCACACTAATGGTTTTCAATACAAATAGACGTACAAAGAAATATAGATGTAAATATATGTATGTATGTATGTACCATATATATATTCTTTTATCTTAGTTTCTAAAAGCCATTCCCTATCAAAAGGAACTAGGGCTCTTTGAAGAAACTGCTGATTTAAGAACTGGTGCAGAGAAAGTACAAACTGAAACTGAAACATCTCATCATGTTAGAAAGTAAGGAAGAACTCAAAGACTGAAGGGACCATGCAAAAAGGACACAGAAACCAGGGCTCTATTGGCTAAACTTGGGTCAATCTGAGCAACAAAACAAATAATAATAGTAATGGATATAATAGTAATAGTAATGGTTTTAACACATTCAATAAAATAGGGGCCTATACTAACATAATAAAAAATTAAAGCTTGATAAGGAACAGAATATTTATATAGTCTCCAAGTACCTCCCCTACAAAATACTTAGGAACTTCACAGTAAAGAAGTGTAGCAGACACCACCTTAATCATGTGATCCAAATTAATATCACCAATAACGGGACAAATCAAAATCAAATGCCACCTGAGAGGGTGCAGTGAGAACAGAGAGACATTTATATAATATTCCTGCCAAAGATGCATAGCCTTGTGAGTAAACACCAGACAAACCCATACTGAGGGACATTCTACAATAACTAGTCTACAATCTTAAAAACTATCAAACTCAAGAGGGTCAAAGTAAGACTAAGGAACTATTCCTGACTAAAAGAAACTGAAAAGTCATGACAACTAATGGTACCTATGTTTCTGGACTAGATCTTCTGCCATAAAGAACATTACTGGGACAACTGTTAAAACTTAATGATATTTGGGAATCAAATGGCTGTAATGCATCAATGTTCATTTCTTGATTTTGATGGCTATACCACAATTATATAGGAGAATGTCCTAGGCTGTGGGAAGTATTGATACTAAAGAAATTGGGCAAGATGGTGGAGGAGTGAGAGGAAGTTATACAAACATCCTTCCAGGACCAATCTGGAATTACAACTAAATTGTGGAGTAATCACTGGGAACAAACAACTGAACAACAGCGAGACAAGAGCCTTATAACCTTGGACAGACAGAAGAATCAGTTTCAGCACAATCTGACTAGTAAGTAATGTAGTAGAGACTTGAGAAGGCTGGCTGGGTGCCCACAGGTGGCAGTGCCGGAAGAATAATTAAGAGGCTGGTTGAATATCCCTGAGAAGAATGGGGTCTAAACCTTAAGGTAGGATCCCTAGCCTAGACCACCCGAGCCCAAAAAGTATAACAGATAACAACTGGTGTCAAAAAGTGGCAGGACTGCTGGAGATGCAGAGCCTTTTAAAGGGCCAACACACAAACTTTCATTTGCAGTCACTTACCCAAGTTTCCAGCAAAGGCAGGAGCAGAGTTGGCTAGAGATGCTTGAGGAGAAACTGAGGACAGAGGCTTTGGGGAGAGAGCTGAGAGGATAGCTGCCAGGATCCTGGTGCTGAGTCATCACCCCTACAGCAGCAGCCATCCTGCTCAGGTGGACCACTCCCCTCCAAGCAGCAGCAGCCTGAGGGGAAGCAATAGCTCCAACCCCAAGAGGTATTCTGCCCTGCCCTAAGGGACTTAAGCCTGACTGCTGAGTGCAGACTGACTAGATTAACAACTGAAGAAGTCAGCCATAGACAGTAGATCCCTGGAAATCAGGAATCGGCTGCCTAAGATCAGACAGGGTCAACATCTGACATCACCAGAAGTGTACCCAGAAAGAAAGAACAGTGGTAAACACCAGAGATACTGAGATGAAATCACTGTGGTCTTTTCCATGATTTGTGACATTTCTTACTGCATAGCTTTTTAACATTCATTTCTTGTCCATCAAGTTTGTGCATATTAAATCACTAGATTATATACTATAGTTTATTTCAATTCACATATTTTGCCCCTCCCTCTTTTTACCCCATTTTACCTTCTTTCCTCTCATTATTTTCATTTTAAATTGTTTTCTCTCTTGCTACAACCTTTTTCCATTCCGCACTCCTACTATTTCTTCCCTGTCTAGCCTCATAAAACTAATTTTCTTGTTAATGGTCACCTGACATCCTTTTCCCCTGCTCTTAAAATAACCACGTTCTCTCTCTACCTTCAGCAATCTTGCTACCTGGTTGTGGATAGGGAAGTTGTTCATGCATTTTTTTCAATTTTATCTATAGATCCTCACTAACTTTGTATTTCCAAACTCAAATTTTATGGGTCACTTCTCCTACTCTATTTTTTGTCTCAAATTTTTAATTTGGCTCTGTCTTAGCCTGTTTGTTTTACTTTTTTCTTCCCTTTCTCTGTCATCCTGACTTTTTATTTTTCTTTATTCTCCTTTTTTCTTTTTCTTTTCATCTCAAATTTTACTTTTTCCCAGTCTTAGCCTGTTTTTTTTTGTTCCTCACTCTTAGTATTCCATTTCAATATCACTTCCCATTCCTCTGGACATCTCTTAAGCTTTTATTTCTTTTTCCCCTCTCACTCACATACCACCTATATTAATTTTAGCTAATTTGTTTTTGACAGTGCTATGGTCGATCTTTCTCTCCAATTTGGCTCCTATATTTTTAGCACTTATTTACTTTTTCCCCTTCCTTTTTCTTTCTCTCTCACTTTATTAATTTATTTTTTAAAAAGTCTACTAATTTTTTAAAAAGATTATTTATTTATTTATTTTTAGAGAGGGAAGGGAGGGAGAAAGAGAGAGAGAAATATAAATGTGCGGTTGCTGGGGGCCGTGGCCTACAACCCAGGCATGTGCCCTGATTGAGAATTGAACCTGCGATGCTTTGGTTCGCAGCCCGTGCTCAATCCACTGAGCTACACCAGCCAGGGCTCTCTCTCACTTTATTTTAATTTCTGTTTAAACCTAACACTATACACTTCCCTTCTCATACTCAATTCTGCCTTCTTCATTCCCTTTTTAATTCATGATATAAATTTTACTTTGTCTCTTCACATTGCTCCAAATTCCAACTCTTATTAGTGCTCCTCCTTCTACCCTCTCAAAATAATTTTTCTTTCAGTAGGTCATCTCATATTCACATTCCTTTTTATAATAGTTTTAATCTCTTTATAACCTTATTAATACTGGTTCATTTACTGTGGATAATGGGACTGCAGGGGGGAGTTATTTTTGCAGGTGTGCATTTTTTACCTGAGTTTTGTGGTTTTGTTCTGGCAACACCTGCACAACATATAAGACGTGGTGGGTGCAGTGACCCTAAGTCAACCAGTTGGAGGGAAGGACCCATCAAAGAATGACCCAACAACAATCAAAACCCAATTACATCCAGAGAGCCAACATAAGGGGCATCCCAAGAACATCAAGTTCAGGAGATCAGGGAGACTACACCACTGAATCCTAAAGGTCTCCTGCAATAGAAGTTCATGCCACAAAGACAGGGAGTCAAAGCACATCAATTTAAGAAGCAGAAGCAAACAAGAAGAGTTTCACAAATAATGGGAAGACAAAGAAACAACCCCCCTTCCCAATCAAAAGGAAAGGAAGAATCCTCAGAAAGAATTCTAAATGAAATAGAGGCAAGTCAAT